GGGTAGTGTCCGATCGGACTCCGTGTTGGTGTAGTTTGTCCACATCACAACCGACCGCCGTTCACTGTCCTGACGCCCAGCAAAATCTCCCGGCCGCAAGTTTTGCAGAATGAACGTCTGGGATAGACAAGACACTCAAAACGTTCACTTTCGTTGTCTCCTGCTCAATTCATGCTCCTTACAAGGACACGAGGAGATTCTCCATCATCTGTACCTTTACAGTTCATTATCAGAGCTGTGATGGAAGGAGTCGCCCCACATATCCTGAGCTGTCAGTCCAAACTACTCACTACTGTGAGGAGGAGAAAACATCACAAACTGGACCAACAGAGAATCTGAAATGACACCTTCTGGGGCCGTAACACCACGAAAGTTTGAAGATTTTGCACTTTTATTCCCCCATTTTTCAAGGAACAATAGCTGAAAAATGTGTCCTCTGCTGGATCCATTCAATCATTTGGATCTGCTGGAAACTATTCTGTCTGTGTCCTACCGCCTTCTGTAGATATACTGAACCATGAAAAGGGCTTCACAGGTTTTTAGTTTTAGTCTGTTTGTTTTTCAGGATGAAAATAGAAAAAATCACTGATCTGAAAACACATGAAACGTTCTAAATTCAATATTTAAGTCTGAGGTGAGCAAACCAGTCCAGCTGCTGAATTTCCTACAAGGTCAAACATGAACATTTGCTGTCAGAAGGCAGCTAAAGCAAGTCTCCTGGTAAAGCCTCTGGGCAGCTATTTTGAGATAACACACCAGAACTGTTCTTCACAAACTGCAGGTTTAGAAGCACCAGTGAGAGTTGATAATTACCAGGTTTACAAGCATTTCCCCTCCAGGTTATGCTTTTACGACACAGCATCACGTCTGAGTCAGTGCAACAAAACGATTGGTTGATTTTTTTATTCTAAACATTTGTAAGCAGGCAAACCACAGGTAGAGATCTCAATAACTCAGTTTAGACTGCAGTTAAAATGTGGACACCACTTATCAGACCATTACAACACGGTCTTGATGTTACACACCAGACAGCTTAACAGTATTCATGGGTGTTTTGTATCTCTTTGAGGTTGTTTTGTGTCTATTTTTGGTTGTTTTGTGTCTATTTTTGGTTGTATTGTGTCCATTTGTGGTTGTTTTCTGTCTCTTTGTGGTTGTTTTGCATCTCTTTGGTGTTGTTTTGTGTTGCTTTGTGGTGGTTTTGTATCTCTTTGATGTTGTTTTGTGTCTCTTTGCAGTTGTTTTTCCGCCTCTATGGTTTTTTTTTATGTCTCTGTGGCCATTTTGTGTCTGTTTATGCTGGTTTTGTGCTTCTTTGTGATTGTTTTGTGTCTCTTTGTGGTTGTTTTGTGTCTCTTTGTGGTTGTTTTTGCACCTCTATGTTTTTTTTTTATGTCTCTGTGGCCATTTTATGTCTCTTTGTGGTTGTTTTGCATCTATTTGGCATTGTTTTGTGCCTTTGTGGCCATTTTGTGTCTCTTTGCGGCTGCTTTTGTGCCTCTATGGTTGTTTTGTGTCTCTTTGCGGTTGTTTTGTTTCGGATTCTACACATCTGTATTTCCATTCTGAGGAGGCAGGACTCCAGTTTGAGACGTGACAACTTCATTCTGACCAGTTTATACTTAAACTAAGAATCTGAGTTATTCTTTTTGACTCATCTATTTATGCATAACTGCAGCACATCGAGTCCGGCTCCTTCAAGCTAGAACAGCCTTGTGGAGGCAGTTTATCGATCATCCTTTGTTTTCTGCTGAAGGCTTGCTGGCATAACTGTGCAGGGTGGAGAGACGATAAGGACGACGGTTTGGGATTTTTGTTGGTTTAGTTTTTTTCAGTTTGCAGCTAAAACTCTAGAATGTTGTGGTCAAGCATTTGTTGAATTTGTATATTTAACTTTACCAAACTTCATCAGAGACGTTGGATCGCCTCTCTTGAACTCTCCAGCTTTCCTCTGACTGGGAATGACCTCATTATTCAGTTTAATCAGCGGCTCCTCACCCTCTCACTGTTTACTCAGGATTAACCAGCTAACAAAGCCTCATCACAAGGCGGTTTACTCTTTAAACCAGCACCTTTGAGGCAACACGACCTGCTGCCAGAAGTTGCACAAACAAGGTCCATCTTCACGCCTGCAGAGAGAATCATGTCGAGCTGAGTCATCGTGTCAGAACTGGCCCCGCAGCGTTTATGTATTCCACCACTCAGCTGCTCCGATGCGAAACTCCTCTGCTGTAATTCATTCATTGTGCAGCTAATAGCTCCACATTCTGGACACACCCAGACCCATTAAGGTTCTGCTTTAACAAGGACAGGTGTGTCCTCAAAGGCTCGGCGCCAGCTCAGCTCGCCATCCTTCCTCCTCCTCCTCCTCCTCCTCCTCCTCCTCATCCAACAGGATAAAACTCCAGCCGCCGTTGCAGCTCCTCAGTCTGCTCAGCAGCTGCAGCAGCAACATCTCCTCCAGGCTTCATCCACCATGTTTCAGCACAACAGGTCCGCCGTGTCGGTGGGCGGCGGCCCCTACATGAGCAGCAGCAGGTCCATGTCCAGCGCCCTGGGAAGCTCCCGGGGCAGAATGTCTGTGGCTGGCTCCGCCATGTCCGTGTACGGTGGCGGCATTGGAAGTGGTGGTAGTGCAGGTGGTGGGATGAGCTACGGCTTCTACGCTTCAGGTGGAGGCGGTGGAGCGTTCGGTGGTGGCGGTGGCTTTGGCGGTGGCGGTGGCGGTGGCTTTGGCGGTGGCGGTGGCGGTGGCGGCGGCGGTGGCGACGTGGACATCTCTGCCAACGAGAAGGCCACCATGCAGAACCTGAACGACCGCCTGGCCGCCTACCTGGAGAAGGTCCGCAAGCTGGAGGCCGCCAACGCCGAGCTGGAGCTGAAGATCCGGCAGTTCCTGGAGAGCAAGACGTCACCCTCTGCCAGAGACTACAGCGCCTACTTCGTCACCATCGCAGACCTGCAGACCAAGGTAGGCTCACCTGAGAAAACCTGAGATTAGTCATGTGACCACCAGCAGGAAGGCACACACACACATCATGTGTCTGGAAAAAAAAGTCCTGTGAGTGTTTGAAAATATCAGTTTAACAGCTGAACTGGACATTTAGTGCAGAGTGATAAATCCAGACATGAGCTATAGTGAGTCACAAGTTAGAATAAAAAACAGGCAGCCAGAAATAAAAACACAAAGAAGGAAATAAAACTAATAAAATTCAAGACAGAAATAAATGTGAAACGGATGTTAATGTTAAAAACAAAGGAGAAATCTGTAGTTGATATTAATTTCATGTCTTTGCACATGAATATGGTGTTCGTATTTTAAAGTTTTCTTCTAGACAACTTTAAATACTAATAGATATAAATGCTTTTTGTCTTTCAGATCCAGGACGCCACCAAAATCAACGGTGGCATCTACCTGGCCATCGATAATGCCAAGCTGGCTGCTGATGACTTCAGGCTCAAGTGAGTGAATCCATCTAATGTGGATGGAAGCTCTTCATTTTTCTCCTACAATGCGAAATATTTGTTAAAAAAAAAACAAACAAAAAAAACCCAACAATGTGAGTAATGCTATATCCGAATTTTTTATCCAAGCAGGTATTTTTATTATTAATTAGATGAGTTTATCTTGTATAATTTATTTTAAACACCAAACAGTAGAAAAACACATTTTCAGCTTGTAAAACACCGAAATGTGTTTAATTCAACTCATTTTAATCCTGATCTAGAAACCACCATCTGACATTCAAATGTCTGTTTTTAGTTTAAATTTATTTTGTAATGTAAGTTTAAGAAACAACAAGGAAAAGTTAAACCAAACCACCGTTAGCTAAACTGAGTGCTAACTAAGATTTAAGACCTCTGCCTGACTATTAGCCAAGCTAATTAGCTTGCTACCTGACAGTTAATTAACAATTAATAATTCATGATTTTCACTTAGAAATTGGAGCTGATATCTTTTGAATAAACCGCCCATTAGCAGTGAAGCTAATTAGCCTGCTAACAGACAATTAGCAGATATAGCTTTATGCTGACAAACTGTCCAGCTAGCAACAAAGCTAAACAGTCAATAACACTGTTTACACTTAAATATAGGAAATGTCTTTTTCATAAAATTTCCTGCTCGCAACAAGTTACATGGCTTGCTAACAGACACCTAGCAAGCTACCTGTTAGCTTCTGTCTTTTAAATAATTGTCCCATTAGCAACCATGCTAATGTCAACAGACAGTTGCAAAGTGTAGAGTTTCCTTGATAATTCTTTTTTTTTTTCCTGATTTGATCTTAAAACAGAAACAAGAAAAATGATTTAGTGAAGTTACGCTCAGAACAGACACAACAACCCCTCTGATTGTTTTCATTGTCTCGGCAGCACAATTGGAGAAAACAAACTAAAGTGGGATTAAATAAGATTTTAGTAATGGAAGAAAAAAAAGTAAATTAAAATAAAAAGCAAATAAGTCATATTTACGACATGGTTTTCTGCTGTTTCAGTCAGTTTTATTTGCGGAAAAACAGAAATGGAAATAAAAGCTTGGTGTTCTGCAGGTTTGAGAATGAGCTGGCCATGCGTCAGTCGGTGGAGGCCGACATCGCCGGACTCAGGAGGGTTCTGGACGAACTCACTCTGGCCAGAACTGACCTGGAGATGCAGATCGAAGGCCTGAAGGAGGAGCTGATCTTCCTCAAGAAGAACCACGAGGAGGTAAGAAGCTCTCAGGTGTCAATAAAGTTGTCAGGTTCTGTAGGTCAGTAAATCGTGGCAGCCTTTAATATGTCTCCTTGTTGTACCTGCAGGAGCTGCTGGCCATGCGGACCCAGATGAGCGGTCAGGTGAACGTGGAGGTGGACGCTGCTCCTCAGCAGGATCTCTCCAAGCTCATGGAGGAGATGAGGGAGTACTACGAAGGCGTCGCCGCCAAAAACCGGAAAGAACTGGAGAGCTGGTACCAGAACAAGGTAGGTCATGGTCCCATTGGACCAACACTGGTCCAGTCAGAAATACATCATTAGGAAGCTTTATACAGATTCTTGGATGACTTAAAAGATGAATCCTGCCAGTTTTGCTGATCCTCTAACTTTTAATTTCGTGGCACCGTCAGGTCAACACTTTAAGGTTTCCAATACTTTTATAAAACATCTACAAACTTGTGTTTACATGAGATCACCAAATGGTGATGCTGCAGCAGCCATATAATCACGACATCACCAGTTTAACCAAGAAAATGCGAAAAAAATATTAATAAAAATAAAGAAAAGTAGCAAATTGCTAAGCTAAGATAGTCCACATATACCTGCTCAAAATATAATAACTAGCAAAATGTAGTATTTTGCAAGGGAAATTAAGATAGTGACATATCCCCCTTAAACAATGAATAATATCTAGCAAACATTAGCATATTAGCCCATATAGCTAAAATCATAACATAACCTTAAAAAAAAATAACAGTATTTTCTAAGATGGTGAAATACACTTTAAAAATAAAAATTAACTTGCAAGCAATAGCATAGTAGCATGCTAAGCTATGCTGGGGAACATATACCTCCAAATGATATTTATATTAGCATACATTTGCATGTTAGCAATGTTCAGTAGACATATTAGTAAGCAGCAAGCATTAGCATGCTAAGCAAAACTTGTGAACATGTACACTGTAAAGAAATAATAAACAGCAAACATTATCATGCTGGCATGCTAAGCTAAACTGGTGCACATACACCTCCTAAATGCTACTAACCAAAAAATGTTGCCAACATAATTTTAATGCTAAAAGAGCAGATGCAACGTCTAATAATAAGAATTTCAGTAATTAGCAAATGTTAGCATTTTAGCATGCTAAGCTAGGCTGTGACCACATACCTCTGAAAAATTCATAATAACTACAAAAAGTTGGCAATATGATGCTAATTATGAGAAAGCACAAACAGGACATCAAGGAAAATGAAATATTAGGTTAATATGTTTCAAAATAAAAGTCCTGATTCTGCCACCTGCAGCACATTTAGATCCACTGGACAGATTGTCACTCTTCTAAATACAGTTTTAAATAAAAATGTTAAATTAAAACGGATGTTGTAAGTTTGTGTCAGTTGTCTTTTGCGCCCTGTGATGCTTATGAACAAATATCCAAATAAATATACTGTGTGTAAAATGTGAATTTCTAAAGTAGTTATCAGCAGGATGTGGGGAGACTTGACATGTTGTGAGGATGCTCCTATTTTTCCTCCCTACAGGCAGACGAAATGAGCAAAGAAGTCACCATCAGCACAGAATCGGTGCAGACGTCCAAAACAGAGCTGACCGACCTGAAGAGGATGCTGCAGGGTCTGGAGATCGAGCTGCAGTCACAGCTAAGCATGGTGAGCCTCAAAGAAAGTGTTTTAATGTCTGCTGCTTCCTGAGGAACACGAACTGACCGAGCTGCTTACTGTTTGTCTCCTGCAGAAAGCCGGGCTGGAGGGAACCCTCGCCGACACCCAGAGCCGGTACGCCATGATGCTGGGAGGTTTCCAGAACCAGGTGTCCATGCTGGAGGAGCAGCTGGTGCAGCTGAAGGCCGACCTGGAGAGGCAGTCGCAAGAGTACAACATGCTGCTGGACATCAAGACCAGGCTGGAGATGGAGATCGCCGAGTACAGGAGGCTGCTGGACGGAGAGGGAGGCGGCAGGTAGTGTTTTGAAATTTTCTGGTTGTTTTTTGGTAAATTTCACATGCCAATAAAATTCATCACACTTTTGAGATATTTTGAATTGAATCACAAAACCTACGAATGTGTTTTAAAGTCACGTTATCTTTAAAACAAAAAACGTCATCAGGCAGAAAGTGTAAACGCATAAAAATGATCAGATTTCCAATTTTATCACAAACCGTTTACTCATGAACTCCTGTACTAAAAAGAAAAAATTCACCCAAAAAAATGTTTACATTAACCCGACTGTAAAAAACAACAAATTCTGCATACCTTCGTTTACTAGTGAAGCCATGAGTGACTCAGCTGTGACCAACAGTCATGTGACAAAAATTCAGGGAGTTTTCAGGTGAAGTGCCGGCAGTGTTTCAACAGAGCAAGTATGGAAAAAAAAAAACTAAAAATGTAAATAGTTAAGGACTTAGAGTGTGTAGAGTCAACTTTTTTTCCAATATGTGTAACACCTGTGGGAACATTGCTGAGTTCTCTCTTTTTCTTCATGGTTGTTCTCCTTCCATAGAGGTGCAGGATTTTATATTGCAGTGAAAAATGAGACAGGAGCAAAAACACTTCAAAAACTGTTTGAGATTCAGAGGATTGAACAACACTGCAAACATCAACTCTGCAAAATTTTGTTCATTCAGAGTTACATTTTGAGTTTTATTACAGATCTTTGCAGATGTTGTTCTTATATCCAAAGTCTGTAACATCCCAAAACTACAGATGTGGTCTGTTTGGTTTGAGATGTTTATAAAGTCATCGATTACAGAGAGAACAGCAGCACATCGTCTGCGTAAAAGTGGACGTAAGGAATTAAAAGTGCTGATTATGAGGCAGCATGTAGGTTGAAATAAAACAGCCTCAGTCAGCTGAATGGTTACTTCTTTTTTTTCATTGAAATTCTGACCGGAAACATAAAGCAATGTACACAAAGGTCTATTTATTATTTAGTTCAGAAATTTAGTTGAGCATGTAGAGAATCATGTGACAAGAAAACCTGAATTTCAAGAATAATATAATTATTTCAGGATTAAATTCTGTGTATTACTTAACGTATATAAGTTGTTTTTTATAAGAACTATGTCACAGAACATAAACCATGTTAAAAATCTTGTTGCAGGTTTATAGAATGGGCACAAAGTGTAGTTTTGGGGTGAAAGATGTGCAGAAAATATGTGACGCCATTAAGGATTCTGCAATGACAGAATGTGATCATGAAAATGTGGAGCTTTACATTGGCCTTCAAAAAAAATCAAGCAACATGCTGAAAACATGCAATGGAATTGATTAAAAAATAAAGATTCTGTTTAATTGTTAAGGAATTTGAGCAATTTGTTCAATTGTGATGCTTTAAATTTTGACTCTGGAGGAAAACTGGTCACAAATCAATACTCTTTGTAAAGACAAAGCATTTTAAATTGCCCAACCTGTGTCAGAAATATTCCTATCCATTAAATATTGAAGAAAATTCTTAAAATTCTGACTGTTTCTCCTCCTGCAGCGTCTCCATGTCATCCTCCAGCATGGTATCGTCGTCCTCCGCAGCCTTGGCCTCTTCAGCCTCTTCAGCCTCCTCCGGCTCCTCCTCCGCCAACACCACCACCAGCACCACCACCAAGAAGCAGATCGTGATCATCGAGGAGGTGGTGGACGGGAAGGTGGTGAGCACCACAAAGGAGGAGGTGACCCTCTGAGCTCCTGCAGGGGGCATCCCCACAGAAACCAGCCAATAAAGTCTGCTGAGCTGTTTCAGTCTGAAACCTTGAGTGTCGCGTTGTCTGTTCGTGAGGCTGCAGTTCCTCTGGTGGCCACCAGGTGGAGCTGCAAGGAGAACAAATTGAGTCATGAATACGATCACTGGAATAATAATAATAGAAAAAAAAGATAATTACAGTTTGTTTTTATTTATCTTATGAAAAATTATTCTTTCTCTAACTTTGAGCGTGTGATATTTCTGAATACATTTAAAGAGATGACTGATAATAAAACAGAACAAGTAGAGAGTAAAATATTAGCTAGATTGAATGGAATAGATTTTTTTTATTATTATTTTTAAAAAAAGAGGTTAAAGAAGGCAAAACATGAAAATGAAAATAAAATAACGAAAACAAGCCAATGTTACATTGAAAGACAAGGCATAAAAATACAATTAAATAATAGAAAATAGATAAAATTAGAAAACAAAAACAAAGCATACAAATCCAATAAAGCTCTAAAACTAGACAAACATTCAAATTATAAAAATATTAAAAAATGAAAACTATATAACATTACCTTAACGAACAAAGCATAAAAATACGACAATAAAAATTAAATAAAATCCAATTAAAAGACATATAAGACAAATAAAATAAGAAAAAGTAGATAAAATTAGACTAAAGGATAAATAATAAAAACTACAACAAAAAGAAAACAAAATCCAAATAAGACATATCACAAAAATAAAATATAAAAAACTAAAATGAGATGAAACTGAAATGTAGTGTTGGAGGTGTGCTGTGGCTGCACAAGCTCTATAATACGAAGCAAACCTGTGTGGTCTACATGCATGTCAGAAAATACAGATTATCTGTAGTACCTGGTTGTTCCTCTCACTGTTTAATACTGCAGAGACAAGAAGAAGGTGTCAGTCAGACTACAGGCAGTTCATGTTGGCAAGCAGAGAGCATTGTGGGAGTTTAGGTCACAACGGGCAACGTGACAAAGGCTGCGTCTGAAATCACCCACGGTACCCTACATAGTGCACGATATAGGGTTCGCCCTTTTGTAGTGCCGTCCAGATGTTAAGTTACAAATGTTATGTTATAGTGCGCTCAAAATATCCCACAATGCACCGTGAAAAGTAGTGTACAGCCGATGGTCACGAACCAGCAATGTGGACCATCATGCACTGTGCGAAAGGAAACGCAAACTAGACGAATGAGAACGAAAACTTGTCATAAACTGTAAGAAATTTCCCCATTTATGTTTTGTTAAAATTTATTTTACCCGTTTCCTAACTGTGCCATAAAGCGTGAATTTGATGCGTTTGCACTCCGCAATTGCGTCTAGCAAGCGACGTAATTAATAGCTTGAATAGTGTTAGTTGACCGAGGTGCTCCCTACATATGTTCACTATACGAGGTGTGTCAGAAAAGTTTCAGGACTGGTCTCACAAAAGATATATTTCAAATCCAAACTACAAGTTTTCTCCTTCCAAGTAATCCCCCTGGAGTCTAACACACTTCCTCAGCCTTCTCTTCACGCCGCCATGCACTCCTGGAAGGATTCTTCAGGATCCTTCGCAGCTCCGTCGTCACAGCCATCTTGATGTCGTCCACGTCTTCTAAACGGGTCCCCTTGATGA